ATTCTCCGTCACAAGGGCATGAGTTTGATTTGTGCTCATGTCTTTCCTTCTTGCCTCCTCATTCAACAACGCATCCTTGACCACAGACATGGTAAGTTTGCCATCTGGGGCTGAGTTGCTGAGAGTAACAACTAGTGTCTCCCAACTATCAGGAAGGGAACTAAGAAGTAGTAGAGATTGCATTTCAACTCCAAGTGGCATTTCTACACAAGATAGTTGATTTACCAGACTCTGAAATTGACTAGAATGTTCGGCGACAGAAGTTCCACTTTTGAGCTTCATATTGACAAGGCGCCTCATCAGTAGGGCCTTATTCCTAGCGGTCTTGGCTTGGTACATATCTTCTAACTTCTTCCAAAGAGAATAAGCATCGATTTCTTGTGCAACATGGTGGAAGACACTATGGTCGATCCATTGTCAGATTTGACCAATAGTTTTTCTATTATATTTTTTCCACTCCATTGACTTGCGCGGGTCAGGATTAATACATTTCATCTCTATTGGATCAAAAAGGTCTTTACAGCTAAGGAAATCTTCCATCCGAGGTTTCCATAGCGTGTAGTTGGTAGCCGTGAGCATAATCATAGCTTCAGAAGATGAAGTTGACTCGTCAAAGGTCATTTTCACCTTCTAAATAATTTTGATTTTCTGTTTTAGAAAAATCGTAGCAGAATTTTAAAAAACGGGCAGCACCGTTGCGTCCGGAACGGCCGAAACTGGTGTGTAGACACTTTCGGGGTCAAAATACAATTTTCGAAAAATTATAGGTGAAAATTATAATTTTCCAAAAATTGAGGGACCAAACTGCAATATTTCATAATTTAAAACTGACGGGTGACGTGGCAGCTGACGTGGCAGTGAGGTGGCGCTGACTGGGCGTTGACGTGGCAGCTGACTGGGCGCTGGTGGAAGATGGTAGTGGACTGGTGACGTGGCGGCTGACTGTACTGGGACTGCACTCGTGTCGCTGACGCAGCTCTGGCTGGCTGATGGCGTCAGCGATGACGTCTGTCGTCTTCTACCTCTGGACTGCCCGTACTGCGCGTGATGCCGCACGCAGTTTTTCGCCGGCGTTTGGTGGCATGTACGACAGCTTCCGGTGGCCAAAAAATTCCCCGAAAATATCAGTTTTCTCGACGAGATGAATCCAACGGTATATTCAGATTGCAATTCCGAGCAATACTTAAAAACTCGATTTTTTAGACAGTAGAATTTTGTCTGGAAAATCTGGGAAAAATATCAAAAGCTCAACCAGACTCTGATACCACTTGTTGGGAATAACATGACCGTGCTAATATGAGAGAAAAACACTTCTATTACTTTCAAGAATAGAAATAAGAGACATACAAGCTCTAACTAAATACTCTCAAAAACACCTCACATATCTCTCAAGGATATTCACAACTCAAACTTGGTTGTGCTATGATGATCTATTCTAATTTACTTGATGATAGAAAGACTCTCCAAGCTCTCTATTTATAGCACCAAAACTAGGTACTATGAAGGTGGAAGGAAGGTGTGTTGAAGCTAGAAGGAAGCTTCAATGGAGGTGTGAGGAAGGTGACTCCTAGGTGGGTTGAAGCTTCCTTTGTCATTCTTGGATGTGTAGGAATTGAAACTTCATGGATGTTGCTCACAATTGGATTTTTAAATTTGCTTGTACTTGAATATGTCCTGGAAATTGAATTCTTCACTAATAAGATTAGTGTCTAGATTTCCCACAACCTAACTTATTTATTGAACCAAATCATTTTAACTTTGATAATCCGAATTTGAAATTTAAACCAAATTGAAGTGAACCACTTACAAACCAAACCAAACTCATATTAAAACACATACAAATGATTTTGTTTTAGTACAATATCTCTCAAATCGAATAAACTGAATTCCATAAAAACCAAAATGTAAACCAAATTTAAATTTCTACCCATTCTTTAAAGAGGTAATTACCTAAATGGGAGTAAATAAATCTTCAACTGCCATAATAGGACTAAAATTTAAAAATTCCAAAAATAGGAGTTATTATTTGTAATTGGACAAAAACACCCCTCAAGCTTGGAAATCATACTGTCATCGACCACAACGCCGAACCACCGCCTGTCGCCGCCGGTTGCCGGACGTCTCTGCCACCTCAAAAACAGCCACCATTGTAGATCTGACCGCCGCCGATGTAGATCCGACCACCGTCGCAGCTTAATGGAATCTCCCACTGCAAATCTGGGCTTTATCGTTTCAGATCTGGCCGTTCGCGGCACGAATGTCAACATTTTTATCAAAATGCCAAAATGAATCAGGAATGCCATTTTAATGGCATTTTCAAAGGAAAATACAATTTTTTTGTAAAATTAGAATGTCATTTTGATGGCATTTTCAGTGTTGAACTTGGTATTTTTTACCAATCAAAAAAGAAATCGAGCATCTACAATGAAATAGAAGAGGGAGAGAACTAGAGAAGAGGGGAGGAAGGAGAGAACCTACCTTCGAAGAAGAGAAGATCTCCGACGGTGACGGCGACGGTGATGGCTATGAGCAGTGGCAGAGGACTTCACGTCAGCGGTGGGGGCTCAAAGCTTTGGTCAGCGGCGAAGGGGAAGGGAGAAAAAGGAGTGTGCGTAGGGGGAGAAGATGCACATGAGGGAGAAGGCGCAGGGGAGAAAAAGAACGACGATGAAAGGGGGGAAAAGAAAAAAGAGGGGTAAATGGATAATTCAGTCCTATTTAAATGTATGTTTAGTCCTATTTAAGGGCAAATTATATCGTGGGATCGGCCCATCATGAGCATGGTGTGCCGATCCTCATACGGTACCGTTTTTTCTCTTCCCACTCTCCCATCAATCTAATGTTACGGAAGTTTTCTTTCTTTTTGCTCCAGGTTTTTACTTTTTTTCTCTTTGTTTTTCTTTTCTATTTTCTTCAATTCTCTTCTCTTTTACATCAAAATACTAAAAGTTTGTTTGTGAGTTTACTTATTTTGATCTTTAACTAATTAAATACAATTGAACTTATATTTTTCTCTATCAAATTATTACAAAATTTTATTAATCCACATAAAATAAGTATGTTGTATTTCATATATATTTTTTCAACTTTTTTATATTCAACTGAAATTACAATAGAATATATTTTTTCTGTAATATTTTTTATATTTCATGTTCATTAATTTTTTTCTATAATATATTTCTTATCTCTTTGCAAAAACGAATATATTTCTTATCTCTTTGATATGTTATTAGTGTTTTTAAGACATTGATTTTTTTCGATTTAAATTTCATAAAACATGAAATTATATTACATTTTTATATGTGTGAGTTATGTTTATAGACAATTTATGGAATTACATGTGATAGTATATGAAGTTACATCTTCTTATAGGCGAGTTACATCTTGTTGTGCATGAGTTACATCTTTCTATGGGCGAGTTACATTTAGACTTGCCTTAACAAGCTATATTTTGCATACACCTAATTTAGATTTTTCTTTAGCGCGAGTTACATTTTTTCATAACACGAGTTGCATCCCAAAATAAACTCCATCCATTGAAACAAAAAAAAACAATTTTTTGCCAACAAAAATGATTTTTTTTTTTGAAAAATAAATGATTTTTCGAAAAAAAAATGAATATTTTTGGCAAAAAATATTATTTTTCTTGGAAACATTTTTATGGACTTAATACAAAAAACAAAACATATTAACTATTTACATAAAAAAATTAAGCAATTAGACTCCTTGTTGTCATTGTTTACATTTGATAGTATATGGAGTTACATCTTCTTATGCGCGAGTTATATCTTTTTATGCGTGAGTTACATCTTTCTATACGCGAGTTACATTTAGACTTACCTTAACAAGTTAAATTTTGCATTCACCTAAGTTAGATTTTTCATCAACGTGAGTCATATTATCTATAGCATGAGTTACATCGCAACATAAAGTTCTGCTATTGAAACAAAAGATTCATTTTTTGCAACAAGAAAAATGGCAAAAATTGATTTCTTTGGCAAAAAAAACTGATTTTTTTGAAAAATCTCCGCCTTCATTATTAAAAATAGAACATATTCACTATTTAAGTAAACTCATGCTGTTGAAACAAAAAAAAAATGAGTTTTTTGGCAAGAAAAAAAATGATTTTTTTGCAAGAAAAAAAGTGATTTTTTGCGAAAAAATTAGTTTTTGGCAAAAAATAATGATTTTAAGGAAAAAACATTATTTATGGCTTTAATATTAAAAACAAAACTTATTCACTATTTACATAAAGTAATTGAGCAATTGGACTCCTTGTTTTCAAGGAAAACAATGTTTTATTTATTATAGTCCTTATTAGACAAGTTACATTTCGACCTGCCTGCAGTTACACTTCTTATTAGCGTGAGTTACATTTCTTTACACGCGAGTTACATCACTCTACTACTGGACACCGAAAAAAACAAAAAAGAAGTTAATGTTCACGCGTGTACAGTAACACGCGTTTTTTTGGTTGTGAGAGCAGCATGCTCACCGTGGGTTGCTCCCACGGTATAGCAACTGTTGTTTAAGAGTTTCATGAAGAATTTAATTAAGGTGACAACTCCGATACCCACCTAAAAATTGGGGTACCGTACCTACCATTCACTTGATTGGTCCAAATCATCATATCATTTTTAATTTAAATTTAAATAATTCAACTTCAACATTCTAATTGATCCATGTGGACAAATGTATAGTACCTTAAGGGTACCATAGAATCTACCTTTAATTAATCCCGTAATAAATCTTCTTTAAATAGTGTACATAGCTGAATTTGGACACCCCAAACATATTTATGGTTACGCCAAGTACCACATACATATTAGGTTAGTGCGCTAAAGAGAGGTACATGATTCATACTTGGGTAGAGTACTTGATTATAGACTATTTAAGAATGTAATCACTTAGTGGTGATTAATAATACTCTCTTAAAACTAAAGCAACATAATTAACGTCTTCATTAAAACCCCGTCCTCCAAAACCATGGCATGCACTAAAAGAAACCCCCGCCATTGTACGTACTTGTCTCCGATCAGCCGCCGGTAATTAATAAAGAAAAGATACGACTAGCTTAGCATGTATTCAAAAGAAGATGAAGAAGAAGCTCTTTTCCGAAACTTCCCCCGACCCGCACCTTACTTTGGTCCCAGCCCTTCCCATGCAAATAACAATAATAAGGACAAAGCAGAAGATGAAGATTATAAAAATGATGCAGACATGGATAATTATGGATGGGGAATTGGGTATCCGGATTCGGGTGCGGGGTGGATTGCGATCCAGATTGGTTGGAGGGTGGTTGTGAGCATGGCGGCGGCGTTGCTTGTCTTCTACATCACTACCAAGCCGCCGCCACCTAAAGTCTCCGTCAAGGTATGTACTCCCATAAAATTCTTTCTGATTTGATTTGGATCGTAGTTAAAGAAAGTGAGAATAAAGTTGAAGTATATTGTAGCAATTGACTAATAAAAAAATAAATGAATATTTATCATACAAAACTTTCCAAAAACTCAATCAAAATTTTACTTTAGCCATCACAAAAAGGTAATCAATGGAATAATCTTATGGAACGGAAGGAGTATATGTATATACCCCAACAATATTTGGGACGACGCAAACCAATAAGAAAATGAGATATTGATGGTAAATACTTTCATAAAAGTTACGGAGTAAAAATTGAGTATAACTTTTATAAAATTATACTCCGTACTAATCAAAATCATTGGCAAAACACTAAAAAAATTATTAGCCAAAGTTAATCACGGTTCAAATCAAAATTTTAAGGGACGGAGGTTGTATTCAATCTTGGGAAAAATTAATTTTGAATGTAATACTCAAAATCAAAGAATGAAATTTAAGGTAATTTTATCGACCATATGAATACTAAACTAGCAAAGTACAGCGTGCGGGGTTAGTAGAACTTTAACGTTCAAATTCACAAAGTCTATTACTCCGTATATTCTAAAAGTTGAAATAGAAACTCAGTTATGTAAGATATGGAAAAGGCCGAAATAATGTAGATGGAGTATGACAAAAAATTACAAATACACTCTCCGTTGCATAAAATATCTCGCATTGACTTGGATTAGAGTTTAAAAAAATGAGAATAAAGTGGAAATGTATGATTATGGTTGACTAAGAAAAAAGTAAATGAATAGTAATCATAAAAACTTTACGAAAAGGGAAATGAAACTATTTTTTGGGACGGTCCAAAAAGGAAACCGCAAACTATTTTGCGGGAGTGCGGCACGGAAGGAGTAATTATGTAAAGCAAACATTTGAGTAGCTATCGATGACCGTTTCTATGGAGGTTTTTTAGTTCTACAAAATAAGGCTCACCATCTTTCTGCACCCAAATATACTACGGAGTAGTACTAAAGTATAGCCTTTTAAGAAAATACTATGAATGTACACATCATCCAATTGTTTAGGTGCCCGGGCGAGCGTACAAAATGTGTACACTTTTTGCTCGCCTCTTAATTAAGTTTAAAAATATATGGATATATAAAATGGATTTGAGTTTTATTGAGCGTGTTTGACATTTAGTGGTTAGCGGATATCAGATTATGCTAGCGAGTTGTCAATAATAGCGGATTCAGTCAGCACGTATGACTAGCAGAATAAATTGGCTAGTTGTGACAAGATACTTGATAATTTAGCTGTTTGTCCATTAAATTAGTAGAAAATGTCATGCTACGTATTACATAACGCCCGCTAATTCAAAATTCCCATATTTGCAATGTTTCCATTTTAGCGTTAAAACGTTAGTGCCGAACATCTATTTACCAAATAGCATTTTCATTTATTGAAACATTAAAAGTAATCAAATTGTCTTTTTGTGTGTATGTTTATTTAGAGCTTGAAGCCTTAATTTGAAGTTTGAAACATAAAATTCACAAGTCACGACTCACAAGCTCACAAGTCAATTCACAAGTCAGAACTATTAAACCGCCATGTAGCTACCAAAAAGAATAAACGAAAAGATTATCGAGACATCTTTTTTTGAAGGAAAATAACTTATATTAAATCACACGATCCAAGCCAATAACAAATTTCAAAAACTAAATCCCCCTCTATCCAACCAAAATCAAAGCTCATCGACCTCCTTATCACATCATGACCAGACATAGAATAATACACCCTAAAAAGAGCGAGACTAATCACTGAAGCTGTGAAAGCATAGAGGCTATTAGCGGCTGGATCACCTGATTGCCTTCAACTAGTAATCTATCAACTAAAGCAAAACAGAACACCCACCTATCTCGATTATTGTTTGTCATAGTAGAAACAAAATAGAAATGATAAAACAGACTGGACTGAAAGTAAAAGACTAGAAATAATAAAAACAGACTTCCAAACCCTAGTCGCGTAGTTCCTCCATGGCGGCGGTTCCGAAGGGGGGACGAATTTTCATCACTTCATATTCTTCCTTCTTCGCTTGGATCTGCCCATGAGTCGCCTCCATTTCTTGACCAAAAGATTGCACGAACACAACCAGTCCGAAAGCGAGCCGCCTCCACATCCCTATCCACATCAAGCTTCTACGTCCTCGTTCCTCCATGGCCTCCATCTTCCCCTTCCGACTTTGACCAAACGGAACCGCTCCCCTGCGCAGACGAAGCAGCCCACCAACGAAGCAGAAAACTAGCCAGAAATCGATCGAATAGTCAGAAGAGAAGTTGGTCGTTGATCAGCCAATCGTCGCTTAGGCCTGACACGATTTTGGAGTTGAAAACTCCGCTGCACCTATTCCAAATCGCCGAGCGAAAGCAACTCGTCGGCCTGCTTTTAGTCTACCTGCTTTTATTGTAAGCTTAGTATAATAATCTTTCAACGCCCCATTCTCTTAGCAGATTTTTCATTTGTATTACTCCCTCTGACATCTAATTAATTGGAAATAAATTAATTGGAAATAAAGGAGATCCAGATTCAATATTTAATTAATCACTATAGTTTAATCTATTTAATTTCTTTCCAAAAAAAAAAGCTAGAGTAACAAGCTACAACGTCGTACCCCAATGCCCGTTTCAACTTCACGCATAATAATTGCATAATAGCGGTTGCAGCGCACTACTTGCAATTTTTTTACAAATCGGCAATGGGCGGCGGTTATAGGCATAATTGTTTCATTATTCACTATTCAGCGGACAATTTTAATTCAAATTAAATTATAAATTAAACTTTTGAACGACTAACTTGCAAAGTCATGGATCACCCCGTTCGTAGACCGTGAGAGGAACGCACCGTGAGTATGTTGCTTCCATAGGAAAAAATGTGTGTTATTGTTCACACGGATGAATAATAACTTTTTTCATTGTCCAATAACATGAGGACGTAACTCGTATGTAAAGAAATGTAACTCACGTTGACATGAAGTGTAACTTGTGACGAGTAAAAATGTAACTTGTCTAATATAAAATATTAGAAATAAAATATTGATTTCAATGTAAACAATGAAAGAGTAATCTATTTGTTCAATTACATTACGAGTGCATGTGTTTTGTTTTTAATATTAATATCATAAAAATGTTTTTAAAAAACATTTTTTGCCAAAAAAAACATGTTTTGCTAAAATATCATTTTTTTCAATTTCAATAGGAGCGGTTTATTTTGTGATGAAATTCGTGTTCTGGGAAATGTAACTCGCGTTGATGAAAATTTTAACTTAATTACGTATATGTAAAATGTAACTTGTCGAGATAAGTTCAAATGTAACTCGCGCATAGGAAGATATAACACGCGCATAAAAACATGTAACCCATGCATAACAAGATGCAACTCCATATACTATCAAATGTAAACAATGAAAACAATGAGTCCAATTGCTCAATTACTTTAAAATTAAAGGTCATAAAAACGAGTATGTTATGTTTTTAATATTAAAGGCCATAAATATGTTTCTTTTAAAGTATTTTTTTGTCCAAAAAAACATTTTTTTGTCAATTTCTTTTTTTTTGCCAAAAAACAATAATTTTTTTGGGCAATCTTTTTTTGTTTCAACAGCAAGAGTTTTTTTTGTGATGTAACTCATGTTATGGAAAATATAGGTTTTCGGACGGGAACTGCTCCAACTCTTATTATAATATTCCCGTAACTCATACTTAAAATCTTAGGTTTTCGGATGTAACTCATACTTAAAATCTTCCCGTAACGTTTTATAAATTAGGTTATGCGAATGTACAATTCAATAATTAAAATATCTTAGTAATTAGAAAATTTTGTATACTTATTACTATAATAATTTGTAATACATAAAAGGGGTTTTATAACTAGTAGTGTGTAAAAGGTTATACCTAAAAATTATTATTTACGGAGTATTATTTTCATTTTAAGTAAAACAACTATAACTACTAGTCTACTACTACATATTGATATTAGTATTGTTATTATCATTACTATTATTTATTTAATATATTTTTATTTTATTTTTAAAGCGGTTCTGAATCGGAATCATCCGGTTCCTCAAAATTCGAAGAACCGAACCGCTACCTAGAACCTTCGGTTCCGAACCGTAAGCTACCCCAGCCAGTTCCGGTTCGAAAACCGCCGGTTTCGGTTCCGATTGAACTGGAAACCGGGGACAAGTCTAGCTTGAGGAAAAAGAAAGCCCGTAGTACCCCCAGGAGGAGAGAAACGGTACTGTATTTGGTGCCGATACGATATATCATGCGCATCGTATACCGGTACCACGGTATAATTCGCGTGGATGGCCAATTAAATAAGTTAGTCATTCATATTTTACTATGACAAGAACTCGTACAGTACTTGCAAGTCTAGAAAAAAGGCGATCTAAACTAATTTAAGCCTATACTAAGCTCTCTGTATATGTATGTATAATGCAGATGGTTGGAGTTGGGCAATGGGAGTTGGGCGAGGGAGTGGACGGAAATGGTGTAAACAGTAAAATGCTAAACTGCAATGCTTCCATAAATTTGATCATAGAAAACAAGTCCAACCTCTTCGCACTTCACATTCATCCTCCTCTCTTGCAAATGTACTTCGGGACATTTCCTTTTGCAACATCTAAGCTTGTAAGTTTAATTCCTTCGCTGTAAAACTATATACTACCTCCTTGCCATAAAATTCTTCTCACTTTGACTTGACACTGAGATTAAGAAAGTGAAAATGTATGATCGTGGTTGTGTAAGAAAAAAGTGAAATGAACGTGAACCACACAAATTGTTAAAAAATTGTAAGTGGAAGAATTTTTTGAGACGGCCCAAAAAGAAAAGTGCGAAGAATATCTTATCGTATCAATTATATTGATTGTTCAAATTAGCAATTTACTACCGGCCTAAAATTCCTCAAACACATGTAAAATATATATAAGTGATGGAGAATTTATGTACGCAGGGTAGGGAATTACTAGCGGAGAGCAATGGTACAACCGTGTTCAAGTTATGGGTGGGTACGAGGAACAAAGCAATGTACGCCGCCGGGAGAGCCATGGAAGACATGCTGGACTCCGGCGAGGGGTTGCCGGTGGTGGTGCGGCTGCGGTTCCTTTCGTGGTTCCGTGTGATGTGGGGCGTCGTCAGCGTTAAGTTTGACCACCACTCCGACTGCCTTCTCTTCCTATCTAAATCCTCCAACAACAAACGACTAACTCATCTCTTCAATACAACTTGCCCTCCCATCTCCGTCTAATGGTTGCAGATTGCTGGAGTGATTAGACCAACAACGTACATCACGAAGTTAACTAACACAAATCCACATATAATAATATTGGAGACACAATTAGATCATCTTCGCTTCAAACTGAACTCGATCAGAAACTGAGAAAAGGCAAAAGTCTTATTTTCATTCACAGAGAAGAGTATATTTATATGGTGCCAAAACCATTAGTATGTTTACATTGTTTATGCTTTCTATAAGTACATTTATAAATATATAATGCCCACTACGTATGCAATGTGTAAAATTATAAATTACTAGAATTGAATGAATATACTACGTAATTTTTATTTCTGAATTTGAATTGTATGTCAGTGGACAGTGGATGTTGGACAAATTGTTCTGCAAATGAACATAAACCAAATCCATTGTTTTGGGATTATCGACGTATAGAGTAAGTAGTGTAATAGTCCTTCGACCTGAAGTCAATACTACTACATGTGCGGAGTGATGTACTTTGACCATGATAAACGCTCGCACTCCAATTGGTGTAGATACGGCTTGTGTTGGGTGCATCACGAAGCATATGGAGTAGTAGTTGAGCCAAGAAAGGATTCATTCCTCATAATAGATTAAGAGAGAACATTCTACTTCTCATATCTAGATGGATCAAAGTCATTGGTCAATGCAAAGATATATATTCGTTTTATATAGCGAATATGATCGTTATGGATCATCTAGAAAGATTGAGAGACAGAAACTAAGTTATTGGAATATCATGTGCTAAACTTAGTCGAATTTTCGTTGAATGAAGGAACCGTATCATTATGAGTTTTATATTACATGGAGTTTAAATAGTCACCGCAAACGTATACTCCCTCCGTCCCATAAAACTTGGCCAATGTTGATTTGCATGCAGATTAATAAAGTAAAAACTGTATGGTTGATATTTGTGCAGAGGAGAGAGAAATAACTTTAGCCACATATTTGTTACTTTAAATGGAAATGACAATATTTTTTGGGACGTCCAAAAAAAGAAAGTTGGCCAAGTTTTATGGAACGGAGGTAGTATAAGATTGTCTAGAGAATCATCTAGGGATTCGCTAAAACCTTAATTTGATTGGTGTTTAATATATAAGACCCTATGAGCCACACAACAAGTGATTATACATTTTGATTGAATTGTTAGAAAGAATTAAATAATAATTGTATTAAATAATATTTAATCAGTAACACTGTAAATGGGTTAAATGTTAGTTAAGACTAAACTATATTTAATTCATGATGTTGAAGGAGAGTTCTATTTGATAGAATTAATTAAGTGTGATAAATTAAATTTATTATACTTAATTAAGATGTATTTTTAATTAAATAAGGTTGATATTTTTATTTATAATCTTTATTTACGAAGTACTACCTCCGTTCTCTTTTACTTGCAAAATTGGACTTTTTGCACTATTCACATATTCTACTTTGACTATATTTTATTAATTAATGTATTATAAATTAAATTTTTAAAAAATATTTTTACATTCTTGTCATTCTAAATTTTCAAAATATGAATTTTTTAAATTTGTTACTAATAATGAATGAAAGATATCAATAGTCAAACTTATGCGTTGATAAACGTGAAATGTTGATTGTTGCAATTAAAAGAAAACTGAGAAAGTATATAAAAACTAGATCGTCTGGATTCTGGAATAAACATGTTCCCGCCTAACATTTACATGACATACAAGGCACCAACTGCACACGTTCTGTCAAAAAACAACCTCATGCACGCACTTATTTCTAGAGTATCGAAATCTTATTCGTGCCCCACTAAATTTTAATACCCTACAAGTTCTCGAATCCAATTCGTATATTATTGTATCACACACGGTGACCACGGTGCTCCCACATTCAAAATGGCGTAGTTTCACACAGTTATTTAAAAAAATCGCATGAACAGTACATGTGTGAACAATACACGTGTGTACAATAACTTTTTTTTCATCCCAGTAGCATGAATAATGTAATTTGTGCATAATTAAATGTAACTCGTATTGTTACAAATGTAACTTCAGTTAACAACTAATGTAACTTGTGCCCAGAAATATACTCATGTTTAATGAAAAGAAGAAGTCTGATTGTCCAATTATTTTACATAAATATGGTCATATGTTTTGTTTTTAATATTAGGTGCATTAAAAATGATTTTTAACAAGACAATCATTTTTTATTGAATAACATATGTTTATTTTGTTGTGTAACTCGCAATGTTTTGTTGTGTAACTCGCGTGTTACAAAATGTGTAACTTTAGACAAAATGAAATGTAATTCCGGTGTGTATGAAATGTAACTCTATAATATCAACAAAGTAAATAAATAGCAGACTAATTAATAAATAAACATTTGTTAATTAAATAGAAAATGCAGAGTATAGGCTAAAATTATAATTGAAGTGGTGTAATTTGCTTGCTTTCCCATCTCCGTATACATTGAACAAAAAAGGAACTGCTCTAGACCGATGCTCTGTGATGGCTATTTGGCTGTGTTCTCTGTGTCTCGCAAGCCAAAACTACTGATTGGAAAGTGGGAAAGGAAAATGGCTGACAATCGAGGATGAGGTAGTCTGTGCGTACGTGTGGACGGCCGAACGGTGATGGAGAAAAAATGATGATGACACATGATACGTTTGTAATTTCCATATGTATTTTTGTGTTTTTATTTAGTTTTGATTGATTTTTATTTTGGAAATTAAACACTTTTGGTGTAATAGTTTAGTTTGTTAAATACTTGTAAATTGTTTAGATTAGGTTTATTCTGAGCTCAAATAGGTCTTGATCACTCAAAAGACAGTTGGTGAACCCCAAAAGTGGAAGGAAGGTGCAAAATCACAAGACTAAAGGAAGATCTTGATTTTTTGGTCTATACTCGGTCGGGTATCACCTATACTCGATCGGGTATCTTGTTGAAATTTCAAATGGGATCGGATCCGAAGACAAAGGAACATGCAGGGAAGATTTTGACCACGATCGAGTGTCTATACCCGATCGGGTACACCGACACACCCGATCGGGTATCCCTTCTGAATTAAACCTGAAATCGATCGAGTATACCTCGGATCTGAGGTTTTAGGCATACTCGATCGGGTACAAGAATATACTTGATCGGGTATGCTTATATAATTTACTCCTTAATCGATCGAGTATACCTCGAATCTGAAGTATTACACATATCCGGTCGGGTACCGTGCATATACCCGATCGGGTACCCGAGCTGCATCCCAAAAAGCCTATAAATACATCTCCTTTCCTTCACAATGAGATCATCAATTCCTTTATACTTCTAAGATCAGTCTAGAATAGTTCTTTCTTTATATTTTCATCATGTTTAGTCTCCAAATGAGGAGCTAAACTCTTCCATCTTGGTGTTGCTCTTGAAGCTTGTTGATTATTAAAGTTGTGAGTTATTATCTTAACTTCTTTCCTTGAATATTAATTAATAGTTCTTTCCTTAATACTATATCTAAATTAATGTTGGGGAGTGTTGCTAAGATGACAATTAGTTAACATCTCGACATTAGTTAGAATAGTATTTTCTTCCTCTATATTAATGTTGGGGAGTGTTGCTAAGATGACAATTAGTTAACATCTTGATATTAATTATAGTAGGATTCATCTCCTTTAATAATATTCTTCCTTGAATATTAATTAATTCTTATTCATATTTCATATTAATATTTGGAACATTACTTAAAGGATCAACTAGTTTTATTTCATATATTAATTATTACTAGAAACGATCGACGAACCAATGGTTAATCGTTGATGGTTTCACAAGTAAGTAACTTCGGTTTATTAATGCACGGCCGTGGTTGATAAACTTAAGAGGGATTAATTTTGTTGGTTAAACCGAAACCGTTGTGTTGAGGTTATCAATCTCAATTGATTTCATCAAGGAGTTAAGAGATTAAATGCTACTATCAAGTCGGTATATGGCGGTGTTCTATACTTGACTGATAGTAAGGGTTATTAATGAACGGTCATTGTTAATAATTACCCTCGATGAATTGGATATACTCGATTGAGTATTCGAGAGGGAATAAGTTATAGATATAACAATGATCGACTAAAATATATCAACAAGTGGAAAGTAGCAATGTCAAATCCTTTTTATCTTTGAATTAAATCTCATATAAGTCGTTCATCTTAGTTTCTTATTAAATCAAATCATTCAATCCAAATCCCCCCCTTTATTTACATAGTTTTATAAAAAAAGAAGTATTCTTTTCCCTGTGGATACGAACTCGATCTACTACGCTATACTACGTATAAGTGTTAGTATTGAAAATTATTTTGACACATCGTGACAAAGTGCATGTCAACACACTTGCGGAGAAGAATAGAGAGTAGCGCACTACTTGTTTTTATTTATGTCTCGAATCAATACACATGTCAATCTGTGGCATTTGCCAATTTCAATTACGGATTAACCAGGTTCTATTTAACGGTTTCCAAAGCAACAACTTGCACGTATGAAAGGTTGGCTTGAAATTCTTTTAACAATTTCAACTGCACAACTATTTAGCATGTCAAACCGTACTCCGTATTATCCAGTTTCAGCGAAGATCGTCAAAAAAACATCAAAATAAATAAGCATAAGAACACTGTCAAGTATAAGGAAATCTCATGGGAATGTCGAGTCATCATTGCAAACCAGCATATATCGAAGAGAAAGTATTGTAGGTACTTTCTCAAACAATTATTTCTAATTAATTATATATATTTGTTTTTTATATTTTATTATTTTAGCATTAAATAAATATTCTCATTATATAATATATATGGATATTAGAATTCCTAAGAGATCGAATATGTAAGCAGTCTATGTGTCCGTATGTGTTTTTGTCAAAAATATCCAAAAACTTTTTGCTTAGAAGCAAATAATGTCTTCCATGTCCAGTGTATTGATTCTGCGAGTCTTATGATATTTTCATGTTTTTGTTTCAGTTCTGCATTGGAAGGGGATGTAGACCTTGCAATTTGCAAGGTCATACCCATTATTGCTCTAGCTGGATTCCGTTTAACTCTGATTTCCAGAAATGAAGCAAAGGTAAATAGGTAATGCATTTTTTATGCAACATTTCAATTAACGCGATTCTTTCAATCATCAACATTTCAATGAAGCAAAGGTAATGCATTTTTTATGCAACATTTCCAGAAATATAGCTCCTTCATATTCCAGATATCCAGGGATCTTATAATGGACATCATCTCTTTTGAGTTCATTCCACTCAAACAAAAAGAAGATATGTGTCATTTTCTATGGGAGATATGCAAATTTAAGTTCATTCCACTCGAAAAAAAGAGATATATGTCATTTTCTATTGGGAGATATGCAAAGTTAA